TGAGAACAGGGATGCAGATAGATAAATCAGCAATAGAATATATCTGGTGGATGTGAGGCTCTAGATTTAGTCCTAGCACCACCAGACAAAACTCTTAGTTTCTGTAATGAACAGGGAAATGAACGTCCTACAATATTTCAGTGGCTGATCTGAAACAGTTCCTTAGAGGACAATGAAAACTGGGCAGTTGAAGACAAAGTGGGTCTTACGGGTTCTGATGTATCTTGATGTACTGCTCCTCATTGTTCCCCTGGAAAGCCTTTAGCCATTTGATAAGCTAAATATATGCTTCATTATTGTGTTAATTTTCACTGAATTTAAGATACTTTCCATATGTTCATGAATTATCTGCATTTTTTGTAGCCTCTTGCAATTTTTTTCCTGTTGATATTCATGGTGACTTACGTGACCAACGTTTGTCACAGGCTCAGGTAGTTGAACACTCAGTCCCCAGTTTGGAGGATGCTATGGAACCTTTGGGGGTGACACCTTGCTGGAGGAGGTATGTCACTTGAGATGGGTTTTGAGAGTTTACAACCTTGCCTGAGACTTCTAGTTCTTTCTCTCTCTTTTGTAGTTATGGTTCAAGAAGTGATCTCTCAGCTTCCTGTTCCTGTCACCCTACATGCATCTTGCTACCATGCTCCCCTCCCCCTGCCGTGATACACTCTCTCTCTGGAACTGCAAGCCCCAATAAATTCTCACTTCCTAAAGTTGCCTTTTATCATAGTAATAGAAAGAATGATCACTATAGTACTCATCTTTCTTTGATTGCTTCGTGGGAGCTTTTTCACATATTAAAATTTATATTTATTTTTATGTATATGTATTTGAGTGTATGTCACATGTGTGTGGATGCTTCAGGAGACCAGAAGAGGGTGTCAGATTTCTTGGGTTTGGAGTTACAGGTCATTGTGAGCCACCTGGCATGGGTGCTGGGAACTGAGCTAGAGTCTTCTGGAAGAACAGCATGCAATTTTAAAAAGTCATTTATTTTTTGAGATTACAATTACATTATTTTGTGCTTCCTTTTCCTCCCTGAAGACCCTTGCACAGAACCTTCATTGTTATCTTTCAAACTCATGGTCTTTCTTTTCATTGTCATTGCATACATATGTTGCTAGGTCTGTACCATGTTCCTTGTATGGATGTTTTCAGGGCTATGTGGTATTGGAAAACCAATTGTGTGCTCTTCCCTGGGGAAAGCTGTTTTTCCTATTCTCATTCCTCAGCTGCCTGTAGTTCTTTGTATAGGGTTCTGGTTTTGTGGGCTTTTCTCTGTCTATTGTGCCATATCTATTGATACGATGTCCAGACCATGCAGAGGCAGTAGTCATGTTGGTGAGACTCTATGGGTGTTGACGAACCATCTGCAGCTCCTGATTACAGATTAAATCTTGACTGCACTTACTATGTGTACTGGTTTAAAATGATTCATAGAAACTCTTCTTTCTTTCTTCCCCCTTTCTTTAATTTTGTTTATAAGACAAAAGCTTTGTGAAAATTGCTAAGTACGTGTCCACACACACACACGTATTTCATGGCATTAAACAGCCACATGGCTTATCACATAAATGTGAAACAGACTAGATGGCACACATGTTACACATTGTTATTATCTGGTTCACCTTCTTCCTTTAGGCTCCATCAGCACATTCCTCTGCTTCCTTCATTATATCTTTTGGAACAATTCATGTCACCAACCCAGCTGAGTTCTAGCTCAAAAGCTTTATTCTTAATTCATTATATACAACATAAATTATTCGTGTAACTTCTTTAACTTTTAATGATGGCAGGTCATTCCCTTCATCTGCAGCTTTTCTATTTCTGTCTTTGCAGCTTGCCTGGACTTTCCAACGGCTCAGCCCCAGTAACCATATGAACCACCTGATGGGTCAATGATACAGAGCTGTGCATGACTGGTCGTCTTGTAAGACCTCAACATGAGACTGCAGCACAAATTCTAGGAGCACTGCCGCATGTGCGAGCTTGTATGGACATGCCACCCTGCAAGATGTTTTAGGGGAATAGGGGAATGCTACATCAAAGTTACATTTACAGTTGGAACCGTCTGCTTGTGTTATGTCTGCTAATGAAGGGGGATCTGCCAGCAAGCCTGTGAATGCCATTCCAGCATGCTGTTCAACATGCCACACTGGTTTTGTTTTTGTTTAAAGAAAAATAAGTGACTCAGCAGTTAAAAGTACTGGCTGCTCTTTCAGAGAACTAAACTCATGCCATGGTATATATATACACTCATGCATGTCTACACACACACACACACAAAGTGTAAAAATAGTATTTTAAATTTTTTCTCTTCTAGAGTTTGACAAAAGTAAAAACACAAAGTGAATTCTCTTAGGTTTTATTAATTTTTTTCACTTACTATAGTTCTTTGAGACTAACCCATGCTGTTGTAGGCATCATTAATTTACTTAAAATGTCTATTTATTACTTGTTCTGTGCATGGTGTGTGCTGTGTGTGCACGTGTGTGAGGATACTCGTGTCCATGTGCTCTCTTGGGGAGGTCAGAGAAGGCACTGGGTGTCCTGTACTACTAGGCATGTTCTGCCTTATGCACTTTAGTGAGGGCCTCTCACTGAACTCCTGTCTTGTCATTTTTTTTGGCTAGGCTTCTGGCAAGCAAGCTCCTTGGGCTCACCTGTTTCTGCTCCCCAGTGCTGGTGTTACAGACAAATTCAGCCCTGCCTGGCTTCTCTATGTGATTGCTGGGGATTCAGACTCAGGCCCTCAGTGGTTTTACCCACTAAGCCATCACTAGCACCCAGGTTACCTTTTATTGTTAAGCAGTGCTCTTTGTTAAGTATGCAGTACAATAAGTTTATCCATGCATTAGCTGGTGGACATTTGGATATTTCTGTTTTCCCCTGTGTATATAAAGCTCTTAATGATAGTGTAAAAGTTTTAGATGTACTGCTTGTCTTTTACGGAGCCAATTATACTTTATCATAGTTGTATAATATTAAATTAGGTTTGGCAAGGCAGTGCACAAGTGGTTTTTCTTCCTAAGCAACATTGGTCTTTTTAATTTCAGCCACCACAGAGAAAGTGTACAGTGTGTGTATAGTCCCCCCCTTCTTTCTCTTTCAGAGACAAGTTCTTGCTTGCTATACAGATCTGATTAGCATAGTACTCATGTAGCCCAGGCTGGCTTTGAACTTACAGCAACCCTCCTGCCTTTGCCTTTTAGGGGCTGGGATTACAGGCAGGTACCATCATTATACCTGGCACACAGTGATATTTTATTGTGGTCTTGAGTTGCATTTCCCTAGCATGGGAACCAGTTTCCAACATGGCAGCCATTGCTCTTTACTGACTTTCTGGTATTTAACTAGCCCAACCTAGTAGTATATACGAATGACTTACCAGTAAGCTTTTGTAACAACAGCTACTGACTTCCTTCTGAGTACAGGTCATAAAAGACATTGCAGTTTAACAGTTGTGGAAAGAGGGAGAATTAGTATTTCCCAGGGATGAGCCCCCTAATTGGTTATTCAATATCAAGGATCAGCCCTAAAATCATGTACATACAAAAACATTAAATGGGACTCAGCAACTTGTGTGTGTGTGTGTGTGCGCGCACACGTGTGTGACAATAATCGTCAAAGAAAAAAGTCATGAATTGAGAGGGAATAAGAGGGGGAATGGGAGGAGCTGGAGGGGAGAAATGGAAAGGGAGAAAGGATGTATATTTTAATTAGAATTTAAAAATTGAGTCTACAAAGATGGCTCAGGGATTAAGAGTATTGACTTCCCCCCAGAGGATCAGGGTTTGATTCCTAGCACTAACACAGTGACTGACAATTGTCTGTAACTCCAGTTACAGGAATTTATTTAGTTATTGATATATAATAAGTAACAACATATATTATATTAATATATGATATGCAATAAATATAATATTAGCATGTGTGAGCAAGTGTTGGAGGCAGGTGTAGAGGTTAAGGAACGACCTGTGGAAATTGGTTATCTCTTTCACCATATGGGTCCTGGGGAGTGAACTCATGTCTCAGTGTTTGGGGCAAGGGCCTTTATTTGCTGAACCATCTCATTGGCCCTGTATAACAGCATTTTGTTAGTAGCTATCTCCAGACTTGGCAACCAGCAGTGGCCCCCAAAGGGAGTGGCACTATTTGGAGGTGTGGCCTTACTGGAGAAAGTGTGTCACTGTGGGGGGCGGGCTTTGAGGTCTCTATCTTTCCCTCGCACTGTGTGTGACTGTTCCCTACAAGCCCAGACACAGTACTCTCAGCTCCCGTATTATCTCTGCCTGCATGCCTCGCATCATGTTAATGGACTGAATCTCTGAACTGCCAGGAGGCCACCCCATTTAAGGTTTTCCTTATACGAGTTACCAGTTACCGTGGTGTCATGGTGTCTCTCCACAACAATAAAAACCCTAGGTAAGACACCTACTAAACGATCTCATTGGCCCTATCTAATTGTTTTTTGATAGGAGCTAGCTCCATCCTTCCCTTTCTCACTTCTAATAACCAATCCCCAACTCTTTTGAATAAGGAAATTAATTTAATGGGAAAAACATGTCAGTGAAAATGGAGTATGCTACTTTTTTGCGGGGGGGGGGGGCAAGGAAACTTATTTTTGTCTAGCAATTTTTCTGATAATGGATTAACAAAAACCCAGACAAATCTGCAAAGAGAAAGCGAAGGAACAGCCTTTTTGGATTGAGAGTAGGAAACCACAGGCTGGCCTTCAGATGCAGGCAGTGTGGCGGGAGCCCAGTCCTTCCTCCAGCCAGCCACGCTTCTCCGGGCTCTCCTCCGGGCTCTTCCCGTAGATGGCAGCAGGGGCCACCGGCGTGTGCGAGGTCCTTACCGCATCTCGTCCGGGCTGCGGAAAGGCGGTAAGCAGGCGTCCAAGACACCCGAGACCCCAGGCTCCCCACCTCCCCGAAATGGCTCAGCGCCAAGCACCGGCAGGTGCACGTGCGCGGTTGTTGTGGCGTGACGTCACGGCCCCGGCCCCGGAAGTACTTACCCTACATCCCGCCCCCAACATGGCGGCGCCCAGTTCCTTGGGGCAGTACCTGCTTCTGCTTCACCTCTAATGTTAGCCTTGGAGGAGTCGGCGGGACCATGGACGGGCCGGGCTTCACGGCCTCGCTGGTGGTGAGTGCGGGACAGGGTTGGGTGGCTGGGTGCAGGCGGCATGGGAGCGGTGGCCGCTTCTCTGCCTTGGCGCCTCCTTCCGGGTTTGCGCAGTGGTCTGTCCTCGTGTCACTTGCAGCTAGGTCTAGGAGCAAACCTGGGGGCACCAAGAAAACCTGTTTTTAAAGTCAGGCGGGTCCTGCCGGGATTTCCGAGTAGACAGGAATGCTTGACTCATTGTCTTTTTTTTTTTTTTTTGAAAGGGGCGGGTGTTTGAGACAGGGTTTCTCTGTGTAACCCTGGCTGTCCTGGAACTCACTCTGTAGACCAGGCTGGTCTTGAACTCAGAGATCCGCCTGGCTGAGCCTTCTGTGTTCTGGGATCAAAGGAGTGCGCTAATGCCTGTCTCTTTATTGTTTTCTTCACTCAAGGCAAAACAGCTTCCCTTATACACCACATTCAGTCTGAACTTGGGAATTAAAGAAACATGGAAATAAACACGATTAAGGAAAACATTCATGACCCTTCCATCCAAGACACTAACTTGTCGTTTTGCTGTATCTATACATTTAGTTAATAGTAATCTGTTAATTTTGCTCCAAGTTTAGGCTTTGAAGAAGTACCAAGCACAAATAGTGGTGGAGTCGATAAAATATTTATTGTTTAATTCCGTCGAATTATGGGATCCAGTGCTCTTTGAGGAGCCTGTTACAGCAGCTCTAGCAGGGGATAATAGACTCAGCCGATCCAAGACAGATTGGTTTATTTGACTTCGTTGTGGAGGAGTGTACAGGTGCAGACTCGAAAAAGCCTTAATTTTTAAAGTGCCCGCGCAATGAGCAAATAGAAGCTCAGGGGCGTTTTTCTCAGAATTAGCTAATGTTCTGGATGAAGGGGTTGGAGATACAGTGTTGAACAATAGACACCTCCCACGAGAGTCAGGTTTTGGAGACAGTGCTGAAGTGAATGTTGTGGTAAGTGACAGAGAGGGCTGGGTTCAGGATATTATGGGAATAGTGAAAGGGAGGGGTGGCTTAGCCAGACGTAGGGGATTATAGTTTCAAGTTTAGATTCATTGAAACTTGTGTAAGCCAGGCTACTAAGATATAAAGAAATATGACTTCAGCGAGCGCTCTCTTATTGTGGGTAAGGCAGCAGCAGTAGTTTTGCCAGTTAACATTGCGGTTCTCAGAAATGATATATGTGCTTTATGTGTAACTCAATTCAGTTTTCACAAACAGCTGAAGTATTGCCCCATTGTTCTAGATTGCTTTCTGTTCCGATAAAACGTGGTCCAAATCCAACTCTGGAAGGGTTTCTACTGTTTGTATGCCCTGATCACAGTCCGTCTTTGTAGGAAACAAAGACAGGAACTAAAACAGAGACCAGAGGAGTGCTGCTGTTTACAGGCTTGTTGTCCTGCTTTCTGGTACCACCCAGGGCCACCTACCTAGGGGTGGCACCATCCACAGTGGGCTGGGCTTACACACACTGATTACATTAATTAATTACTGATTACATTAATCAGTAATAAAATTTGCACAACAGGCTTGCCCACAGACCAACTTGAGGGAGGCGTTTTCTCCAATGAGGTTCTCTTTTCCCAAATGACTCTAGCTTGGAGCTCAGACTCCACTCTCGGTAGTTTAGTGGTGGAGTCTGTGTTGTTAGCTGCTTCCTGATTGCTCAGATCAACAACAGTCGTGGTTTTAAAAACAGATGAGTGATGCCAGGTGGTGGTGGCGCACGCCTTTAATCCCAGCACTTGGGAGGCAGAGGCAGGTGGATCTCTGTGAGTTCGAGGTCAGTCTGGTCTACAAGAGCTAGTTCTGGAATAGGCCCCAAAGCTCCAGAGAAACCCTGTCTCGAAAAACAAACAAACAAACAAACAAACAAACAGCAACAACAAAAGAAACAGGTGAGTGCTAGAGTTAGCAAAAGAAGAATGATTTAGAAATGAACATACAGGGGAACACGAGGTGGCTTTAGCAGTTGCGAGCACTTGCTGGGTTTGGTCCCCAGTACCCACAAGGTGACCGCAACCATCTGACATTGTAGTTCTAGCAGGTAGATCTTTTGTCTTCTTCTGGCCCCTGGGCACCAGGCATGAATGTTGGTGCACAGACATACATAAACACACAGGCAAAACAGCCATACACATAAATAAACAAAAAGCCTAATACAATGAGCATATAGAAAAGTATATCCCTTTCATTGTTTGGTAGAGGTTCAAAGTAGGGTAAGCAGGCAGCAGTTCCAGGAAGTTGGATTTCATTCATTGTAGCTGAAGAACAGTTTTTTTTTCCCCTCTTATTACTGTTTGAGGCTACAAAGGCTGCCTCTCCTTTCTCATGCTTCCCTTTCTCTTTAGGTGAGAGAGGGGCACTTGGAAAGGTTTAGTGTTTGGAAATTTAGCTGTGACTGATTTGGTAGGAAGTTTTGTTTCCACTTCCAAACCCTTAACACTCCATGCCGATCACTACTCTAAGGTTTTATTACACAGACAAAATCTGTGTAAAAGAATGGAGTGTCCGAGAAGAGGAAGAAGTTCCATTTAATAGCTGTCCCACATTCCTGAGCCAGGTTTGCTCTGGTAGAGCAGTGTTGCCCGTCCCCTCAGACACTAGTGGTCTAGGGGGAGAGGTTAGAAACCAGGCTGTGGAGAGCTGAGTGAAGAGTGAGCAGACTTGAATTTAGAGGTTTTAATAGATGAATTTATTCATTGAGTTTAATATTTGAATGTAATCTTAATTCTTTGGTAGAGGACTCCTTGTTTTTGCATGGTTTTTAATATTGGTATGACATATTGGCATTGGTAAACTTTGAAAGATTTAAGTAACAATGCAATTTCAAAACAATAGCTCATATATATTGATAGACCCAACTGCAAAAATAATAGCCTACTTATATTGATAACTGGTTATGTGCCAGGCATTCTAAATATATGAGATCCACTCACGGTTGGGGCAGTGGCTCCGTGGTTAAAGTGCCTGCAGTGTAAGTGTGAGGACCCGAGTTCAGTTCCCCTTGGAGATGCTGGCTGGTATGGTGGCTCATCTGTAATTCCAGTGTTCAGGTGGGCACAGGTATCCCTGGAGCAAGCTGGCTAGCTAGACTAGCCTTTTGGTGATCTTTGGGTTCAACTGAGGGATGCTGCCTCAGTGAACAAAGTAGAGAGACTTATGAGGAAGACTTTTAGACTTCTGACTCAAGGTTCGACTTTCACATACCGGTACACACACACACACACACACACACACACACACACACACACACACACACACACAGACACACGCCACTCAACACATGCAAGCACAAATACACACCACACACAAACATATGACTAAAACAGGTTCATTTAATTGTATTTTATTTTTGGTTTTTCAAGACAGGGTTTCTCTGTAGCTTTGGAGCCTGGCTTGGAACTAGCTCTTGAAGACCAGGCTGGCCTCGAACTCACAGAGATCCACCTGCCTCTGCCTCCCACCACCACCCGGCTATTTTTTTCCTTTTTCCTTTTTTTTTTTTTTTTAAAAAAAAAAACAACTACTGAATTGTACACTTTTTGTTTTTCGAGATAGGGTTTCTCTGATAGTCCTGGCTGTCTTGGAACTCACTTTGTAGACCAGGCTGGCCTCAAACTCTGAGATGTACCTGTCTCTGCCTCCCAAGTGCTGGGATTAAACACGCCTGGCTTGTACGGTACACTTTATTTATTTTTTGCAGCATTGGAGGTGCTCATGTGTGCTGTTTCCCCCCTCATTTTATTTCTCCTGTCCACTCTTTCCTTCCTTTTCTCCCCCAATTTCTTTTGTGGGTCAGGGTAGAACTCAAGTCTTCCTATATGCTAGACAGTTGCCATAAATCTAGCTACGGGACCTATTTGTATTTAACTTTCATTTAATATTATTTATTGCTCAAAACTCTTGAAGCATACTCTTTCCTCCATTTTGTACATGAAGAAATAGAAATGAAATTGCCCTTAAGGAGAGGCCCTCCCACGAAGTTGGGTTGGAGCTAGCTCTGTCTGATAACAAACCAATAACAAACCTGTGTTCTTATGCAATAACTTAATCTGAGAGAATTTCTAAAGAAATGGAAGAATAGTCAAGCCTGGTTCTACGGCTACCTTTGCTTTCTTAAGAGCAGCCTCATTAAACAGATTGAACACCGCTGTCCTGTCAGGAGGGGCTGGGGAGTGGAAGGTTTCTGGAGAAGTGTCTCAGATACAGGCCCCAGTGTGACTGGGAATGCTAAGAAATGCCACCATCTTACAGTTCTGTATGTGGGGAAGCATTGCCGTGTCAGAGGTGCTGGCTTAGCTGTCTAGCAAGCTGAAGGTCACTGACCTGGCTTGCACTCTGAAGAATCTTTTGTTATCACACATTATGGTTATTACAAAGGAAAACAGGAACACAGTTTGAGAGGGGGAGAGGAGGTAGCTTTTCTCTCTAATTGGGAGGTTGGCCTTGGCTTTGTGAGGAATGCAGTATTTGGTTGGTAGATAGACAGGAGTTTTGGCAGGGATATGTGTGTCTGTCAGGTGAAAAGGGGAGAAGAGAGTGAGGAACAGTGGGAAAACTGGTCTTCTGGGAATAAGTTGGGTAAGAGCGGCATTTCAGACCGAGAGAGAAACCTAAGCTGAAACAGAGATAGGAGAAAGTTCTGGACACATTTGGGAACCATAGTTGTTGGAGTGGATGCACAGGTTGCTGGTCCAGGTTCTGTGGGTGTGTACAGGCTGTTCCAGGCTCTGGGAGTGCACAGGTTGCTGGTCAGGCTCTGTGGGTGTGTACAGGCTGTTACAGGCTCTGGGAGTGCACAGGCTGCTGGTCCAGGCTCTGGGAGTGCACAGGCTGCTGGTCCAGGCTCTGGGAGTGCACAGGCTGCTGGTCCAGGCTCTGGGAGTGCACAGGTTTCTGGGCAGGTTCTGTGGGAGTGCACAGGCTGCTGGTCCAGGCTCTGGGAGTGCACAGGTTGCTTGTCCAGGCTCTGGGAGTGCACAGGCTGCTGGTCCAGGC